ACAGGTCAACATGTGGGTTCACTTTATGGCAGATCATGTCATGTCTCATTGATTAGCATTTACTGCGGTCAGTGGTGAGTCCGGCGGCTGGATCTGACTGTGGTTAACATGTGGAATGTGTAAACAGTCTCAGTGATAAAGACCAGAGGCATTCGCTGTATATCCCATAATTTACCAATTAGATGCAGATATTACACTTATGAGGTCATATGCACAAATGCCACAAACAATATTCAAGTCTGCACTAAAATGGGATATTACATCTTGAAATTCATGATAAATGGATGAACAGAGAGATTAAATTGTAGAAAGAATGACAAAAACAAAGGAACAATGGATGGATAGACAGAAACTCACAAAGAAACTAACAAATGATGGAAACTAACAAAGAAACTAATAAAGAAAGTAATGAACAAAAATGGATGAATAGACATAAATTAATAAAGAAATGATAGATGGATGGATAGACGGACAGATAGAAACTAACAAGGAAACTAAAGAAGAAATGGATGAACAGATGGAAACTAACAAAGAAACTACAGAAGAAACGATGGATGAATGGATGGTTGGAGAAAAAATGATGAACAGACCGAAATTAAATAAACAATAGATGGATGGATGGGGTGACAGGTAGAAACTAACAAAAACTAAAGAAAAAATAATGGATGGATGGAAACTAACAAAAACTAAGAAAGTATGGATGGATGGAAACTAATGAAGAAACTAATGAAGAAAACTGGATAAACAGACATAAATGAACAAAGAAGCGATAGATGGATGGATGGATGGATGGACAGATAGAAACTAACAAAGAAGCTAAAGAAGAAATGGATGGATGGATGGATGGATGGACAGATAGAAACTAACAAAGAAACTAAAGAAGAAATGGATGGATGGATGGATGGATGGACAGATAGAAACTAACAAAGAAGCTAAAGAAGAAATGGATGGATGGATGGATGGATGGACAGATAGAAACTAACAAAGAAGCTAAAGAAGAAATGGATGGATGGATGGATGGATGGACAGATAGAAACTAACAAAGAAACTAAAGAAGAAGAAATGGATGGATGGATGGACAGATAGAAACTAACAAAAAAACTAAAGAAGAAATGGATGGATGGATGGACAGATAGAAACTAACAAAGAAACTAAAGAAGAAATGGATGGATGGATGGACAGATAGAAACTAACAAAGAAACTAAAGAAGAAATGGATGGATGGAAACTAACAGAAACTACAAAAGAAACGATGGATGGATAAATGGATGAATGGAAACTAACGAAGAAAAAAGGATGAATAGACATATTAAATAAACGATAGATGGATTGATGAACGGATAGAAACTAAAAAACTAAAGAAGAAATAATGGATGGATGGATGGACGGATGGATGGAAACTAACAAAAACTACAGAAGAAACTAGGGATAGCTGGATGATGCTGACAGAAAGATGCAACGATAGATGGATGGACGGATGGAAACTAAGAAGAAATTACAAAAAAATGATGGATTGATAGATAGACACTAAGGAACGAACAAAAAAAGTATCAATATACTATCAATGAACAGTAAATTGTACAGCAGGGATCCTCAAATCTGGCCCACGAGATCCACTTTCCTGCAGAGTTTAGCTCTAACCCACACCTGAGCATGCTAATCAATGTCTTCAGGATCATTAGAAAATCATAGGTAGGGGAGTTTGATCAGGGTTGGAGCTAAACTCTGCAGCGCATTGGCCCTCCAGGGGAAGATTTGAGGAACCTTGCTCTAGATGAACATCTTTGATCTTTGTGTCTGCGTGTCGCATCTTTTGCTGTGTTTTGCACATAACACAAAAAAATGTGGTGTTCAAGATAATGTCTCAAGACCTTTTTTTGGGCCCTAACTCTGATTCAGCCGTTCCTTCAGTCGTCACCACTCCCACTCCTACAAAGCGCATTGGCCCTCCAGGGAAAGATTTGAGGAACCCTGGTGTACAGTCTCTCTCAGAGGTGTAAAATGAGAGTTTGATCTGATTGCTTTTACAGTCATTTACATTTAAAGGACAACAAACATCTAAACGAATCCTTCACCAGGTCTCATGAGACGTCTCTGAGCACTTCCAAACCGGACACATTCTGAAGCATTCTTCAGTCCTGTCGCCTCTCCTAAATATTAATGGTGGAAAAGAGTCTTTAAACAAAGGAGAGGTCGGAGGGGAAGGAAGGAGGGCGAGTTTATTTAAGGCACCCCGTGGTGTTGGAGAGGGTTTGAAGTGTCATTGTGTTACTGTTTGTTTGAGCGAGAGCTTAACGGCTGAAACGGCACAAGACTCGCAGAATATACAGTGAAAAAAAGGCTGAAACCAAAGGAAAAGTGAGAATGTGCCTCAGGAAAAAACTTGAGCTCCATTTCAAAAGATAGTGAGCTGCCTGATGAAATACATTGTGCTTTATCTGTTAAATATACATGTGGTGTTAGGCATGAAACATAAAAACTGTTGTCTAGATAGGCAGCTTGCTAGCTTTCGTAATGCAACTACCCAAACATCCCAAGCTCACACAGACACATATTTGGAGTTCCATCACGGCAGGATCGTTTCACTCTCGGTCCAGAGTCAATGAACCCTCCCTTGCTCCCTCTGTCCTCGGGTAACAGCAGGGCGGCTGCTGAGGATGCGATCAATCTGAGCATTGGGGGATTGCTTTATTCGCATGCCTTTTGTCTTGTGTGGTTTGGCAGCACTGCTTGAGCAGAAGTGCTCATACAGGGCTCGCAGTGTGAAGTCATTCAGCAGGCCAGATAATCACACACAAACTCCGAACAAAACGCTGCGAAACAATACGGAGCGTCATCTTCAATGTGCCGCACTGCTCCAGTTAATTTTCGAGCAGACTGCAGCAATTACTGCTGAAAAGCAATTAAAGGCCAAATTGGAGCGCCTTAATTTAGAGATAACAGTGGAATGCAAAACAAATGAATAATGACGATGCTCATTATTGTACGCAGAGCTGTCTTTGAGCCAATGTTCCAACGGATATCAGTTTATTGCTGTGAAATGCATTGTCACTAAACAAAAAAAGACACAAATGATTCTTACAGGAACACAATAAAATATTTACACTATTTGTACATCTAAACACTCCCCCATTCTCTTTCTCATAATGGCTGCTCTTAGGTTTTGTTTAAAACATGTAATTATTTTAAAAATTAAAATGTAAAATATATTATTTAATTGTAAGGTAGTATTTGTTGTACTGGCATTTCTGGCTTTTTTATATATATATATACAGTGCACATTTAGCTGAGAATATTTCAGCTTTTTGTATTTTTATGTAAAAGTTTTTCAGTATAAAATTTTGCCACAACACGTAATAAAAGGTAGATGTTAAAATGTTAATCAGAGTTTTTGTCCTAACTAGCTGCGACAGCGACACGCAAAATTTCTATTTTAGAAACGGTTTCTATTTCCGTGACTTCGTGGCTGGAACAACAACATGCAAACTATATGAAAGTGATCATCTCAGCTACTGATTATGTGCTTTATTCAAAGTTAAACGTGTCTAATGTGAGTTTTAATATCATTTTATTTGACCTTATTTGATCTTGAAAATAAATTAAAGCAAAGATATACGTTAAAACAACAAGTGCATTCCAGTCACTCAGTAAGTACATTTAATAATGTTAAAAAGGTTTAATATTTATAAATTAGATTATAGGCTTATCAATTTTGTTGCGAGTGCAGTGCGCTTCCATAGAGAGCCCGCCCACACACGCTTTTGATTGGCTGTGATATTTGATTGATTCTGTCATGTTGCGTTGTCGTGTCGTGTTTGGTTTGGACAGCTAAATTGCTTGTTGCTGGAATCTTTTTGCGTCGTGTGTAGTTAGGACACGGTGTAAGAGTATATTTTGTATATACATTGTTGTGTTTGTTACTGTGGTGTTTTGTTGTGTGTGTGTGTGTGTCAGATGACCATAGTTTACTGCCTACAAAATTGTAGACTGCAGACTGGAGATAAGCCACACACACACACATACACAGCACTAACAACAACAAACTTGATCTAGTTTTGATTCAGTTTTATCGTAATCAGCCCTATCGCATTCCAAAAACGTCTTAGTTACACATTGTCCGAACGCTGGAATGCGTGACACATTCTTTCTTTGCCTTTTTAGCCAATGTTAAGCACTAAATTTGTATTCTCAGGAACCCTCTCTACAGTTTGATTAAAAATAACAAACCCCCCAAACCACCTTTAGCTTTATTCCACACAAATACACCACATGGAAAACGAGCAGCGGCGTGCACATCAAAGTCACTCTTTTAACGACAAAAGAGGCCTGATTGATCCCGTTACTTAATTTCCCACACTTTTAATTAGAAAAACCTAATTGGTGGCCCTGGTTTAAAGCATTAAATCAGTAGAGAGCAAGTTTTCAGCTCGTGAACGCTGGCGAAGGCAAACTTTCATTCCCACATGCATTTCCAATCAGATGAATGGGCTCCATTCATTTTCCCTGACAGAGTCGGACATGACGCAGTTTAAACACTCATCAGCAGAAGCCCTAATCGGCCTTCATTTGCTTGAAAAATGCAGCAGAAGCAATTGTTATCCACCTGCATTAAATAATGGAACTTCTTTTTGCTGTGTCTCTTTTTATTAACAATTAGCAGGTCTTCGTTAGTAACGCTAAATTGGAAATTAGGAAGGGACCTGGTTTCATTTGCAAAAACAAGGCTGAAATGTGAAACCCATCATTTTAATAAGGCACTTACACTAAGTTTTCCAAAAAAAGTGTTATTTAAGCTGTAATTTTGTTTAAATCATCAATTTTGTGGTGGGACTACAGAAACTTCTAGTATCCCAGAAATCCTGTCAGCTGACCTAAATTGTTCATGCTCAGACCATGCAAGATGTAGATGAGTTTGTTTCTTCATCTGAACACATTCAGAGAAATTTAGCATTACAGTACATCACTTGTTCACCAATGGATCCTCTGCAGTGAATGGGTGCCGTCAGAATGAGATGTGATAAAAACATTACAAAAATCCACAAGTAATTCAAAACACTCCACTCCATCAATTAATGTCTTACGAAGTGAAAAGCTGCGTGTTTGTAAGAAACAAATATATCAAGAAGTTTGTGTGCATTACTTGTGGATTATTGTGATGATTTTTATTCAGCTGTTTGGACTCTCATTCTGACGGCACCCATTCACTGCAGAGGATGCATTGGTGAGCAAGCGATATAATGCTTAATTTCTCCAAATCTGCTCTGATGAAGCAAAAAGTTTAATTTTTGAGTGAACTATCCCTTTAACCAGCCAGTGTAAAATAAGGCTCTTCCCCCAGCTAGATGAGCACCATACCAGTACTAACCAGTCTAGAAAGCTGGAAACTGTCAAATATCCTTACCGTTATCCTCTCGTCTCTGTCGTCTATAGTGACTCCATCTTTCTTCCAGGAGATGGTGGGTTCGGGGTGCCCACGGGGCGGCTGGCACTCCATGACCGCTGGCTCACCCGCCGCCACCATCACGTCCACGGGGTTCTGTCTGAAATCATCTCGAAGAACTGATGAAAAGAGAGAAAGAAAAAGAGATATTAGAAACATGAACAGCATTTCTATCAGGAAACCATTCATGCAAATGTTTAGAAGACAGGAATAACAAATTAGAAACCACCAGAGGAACATGTTTCTACTCTTGCCCAGCACAAACCACCTCTAATCTATTTCAAACATACAACGATTAAACCTAAACCTTTTGTTTACAGTAGCTAAAAAGGCACAAAGGAGGGTTTGAAACATAAAGCGCTCTTCCTGCATGTAAGTGATATTAATGTAGGACACAAGTGAGCAGTGAAGAATGAACATTCATCTAAACCACTGCTCAAGTGCGCGATAACGTCTAATATCTGCTCACACGAACGCACTGTATATTCCAGAGCCTAAGCATGTTAGTCAACCCTGTTAGCCTTCTGATGGATTCACTTAAAGCGTTTCCATTAATCCGAGACAACATTCCTTTCAGTGTCATGTAGATACTGTACAGCAGCACATTAGATTAGTCCAATGCTTTAAATTATATACACATGACATGGGAAAAGCACATGTGCTGAAACATAGCAACTTGAAATGTGATGTTTTCCAAAACCTAGTCAAGTTGCCAACCTGTGGGGTCATTTAAAGTCAATGTGAAATCAAAATGGACCACATTTGCTTTTTTGTTTTTGTGCACATTATATATATAATAGTCAATTAAATATATTTGTATGAATAAATAATTGTACTTGTATAAATGTTACATATATCAGTATTTCTGCACTTTTCATTTCAGGTACATGTAAGTTGATAAACGCAAACATCTCTCGGCTCTCACGCCCCTGAACTTGTTCCTGTCGGCTCGATTAACCTCAGCGCTAGATCAAAGTGAGATGCCCAAGGTAACCTGAACTCCTGACTGCCTCCAAATTCCTTTAAGACTTTAAGCACATAATTGGCCATATGATTCCAGTTTCTACTGCTTGTAATGTCACAGCAGGTAAAAGTCCCCTTTTACCCCTCTGAAAAGAGGTGATTCCCTGAAAGAAATGGAAATAATTTCTTCTCCTTCTCTCTCCCTCTCTCTTTTTTCATCATTTCTCTGTAACAATCTCTCAAGCATATCATTCCTTCCAGCCATGGATTTCAACAGGCATCTCGGTTTCCCCGACCGGCATAATTAGGCAGTCTATAGAGGAAAGACACACATGTATACAGCAGAAGATCACTGGCCGGTGGGGAGAGATGAGGGTCAGTGTCTAATGTGAACTGTGTTTGCCGTCCGTGGATCAGCTCTGGGATTCTGATTCTGTTGTGTGTGTGTGTGTGTGCATAAGTCAAGTTCTGAACATGTGTCTACAAAATGGGAATAGAGTCCTGGAAATGATATAAACCACTGAAGTGAGACAGAAAGAGTGATGGTAAGAGAGAGAGAAGCCAAGCACTTCACTTTAAAGTGACAGTTAACCAAAAATAAGTAATATAACCTTCTTTTGTCTGTGAAACACAAATGATACATTTTTGAAGAACATCTACACGAAGACTTGGATTATACTCCAAATTATCCAAATCCTCACATCGTCCTGAACATGGCAACACAAAAGTGGCTGTTCAGTTTCCAAAATTATGCAGAACTTTACGCTTCACAGAAATTCGAAACAGATGTGGTAATGTCAAATTAAAATGAGATTTGCGTTGATATGCCTCTGACATTAATGAAATTAATATTTAATACCACACGCCGACTACAGAGGGATGATAGTACGAGCTCTGCTGGGCGGAAATGAAATGGATTTTGCTGAGCTACCACTGAGGGTTTCTGGAGTGTTCTACTGGAGCCATTGGGGAACTGGAGATTTGCTAAAAAAAAACACTTCAAAAACCCAGAGCTGGCAAAGACACGGGAAGATTTGTCAAGAACAGGATTGTGGGCCTTTTCCACCGGGAATCCACTCACCCTTGAAGAGAAACCATGGGGAATGATCGAAATACAGCAGTTAAATAAGTATAAATGTATATTATAATCACCCTATCTATATGCTTAGAAGCTTACTGAACATTATCATGCTGAAAAGACTATCATATGTTGCTTTTGAATGCTGGTTTGCTGGTTTGTCCACACCAGACTGCCCAACCACAGCTAGAATAGAATTACTGGCAATTTTAAACTAGAATAACTACTAGCAAGAACCTGGTTCTCCACTATCTTATCCAGCAAAACCAATGTGTTCAGCAAAAAGAAATACGGTTCACCAAACTATTCCGGTTTGTAGGATTCAGCTATAGGAACTGTGAACATCATCATGTTTCATCACTTCGTCCAAACAATCAATAACTTCTTGCATCTGTCCAATCGAGCATCATGTACAAGACGAAATGTCACCGGGACGAAATTACGAAATCGTGAGAATATTTCGAGAAAAAGAACGTGTACCCCAGGTTTGCGAGAACAATTCCACATGAACAATGTGCATATGTGAACGCAATCATTCCCAGATGTGAACCCACGGAACGCCGCCGCACATTCCCTCTCCTCCAGATCATGTCCACATGGTGCCTGCTAAACATAATACAAAAATGGAGGGATGACAAATTAGAGCGAGACCTCATTTAGAACTTTCTCCGCACCCTGGGTCGCCGCGCCATTGCAGGTCAGACTGAAGCTGGATTTGTGCCAGCCGCTGGTTATCCAACACTCCAGACCACCCGCTAAAAGAAACAGCACTGAAGAATGGAGAACTGAACGAAACTGCCAGAAAAACGTTACAAAAACTACTGTGGTGGCACTATGGAACAGTGACAGTATCAGATGGCAATACCATGGTACTTTAGATATACACCATGGTGATTTATAGAGATGGACCAGACCAAATTCTAGCTGACACACCGATAATTATTTTTATGGCCAATAAGCGATAAATGGCCGATAATAAAATTCTAAACTAGCTTGTGAAATAAATAAATAGTAATGATTAGTGTTCATTGAATAACATTATTTATTATTATTATTAATTCAATTTACTATTGTGTAGGGGTGGCACGATACCATTTTTTCAGAACCGATACCGATCCGATACCAAAAGTTCTGAGTATCGGACAATACCGATCCGATACCAGCAGCAGGTGTTTTTTTTTTTACATTTCTATACCTCAGTGTGTGTTGACCTGATCATCCCTCTTTTGTGTATTACACACAATCTACTAAATATAGACAACTTCATTATAAAGAACAATAATAAATATAATATATAATCATAATACTATTATAAACTAGGTTAGTGGATCAGCAAAAAGTTACATGAGGACCTGTCAAACGCTCTGCTGCACTGCTCTTGACAAAAAAAATAACCCTCCACACAAAGCACCACCACCACTCAAGTGGGCCGATATGACTTGTTTGGACAGTAGCAAAAGTTACTCTACAAAAATGATGAGTTCACAATAATGTTATAAAATCTAAACATTTAGAGAAAAAAAACATTATTTAGTGGGGGGAAAATAAAAGTAAATAAGTGTAATCTGGTAAAATGTTACACATTGCTCTTTGTATTGTAATATACATTCATGAAAAACAAGTAAATATAATTATATATAAATATATGCAATAAATCAAATACATTTCTTTTACATTTATAGCACAGCAATGGAGGCAGCAACATATGATAGATAAAACAGAACAAGAAAGGCTATTAACAATCTTTCATTGCGCAAAAGTATTATAACATGAAAGGTTCTAATACAGAGCGGCACAGATCGCTTATGCGCATCCCGTGCGCAGAATGATGCGCTTGAAGCAAGACGGAGTCACAGCACGCAGCGCTCCGCATAGAAAAGTTCAAAGCACAAAGGGAAGAGACATTCTGATGCATAGTGTATTATATACAGTATGTGCGATAGTTTATTGAGCCTTTTAACAGTTTTAAATTTCAGTTACTGTGC